TATGATTCGTTTTGTATTCGGCGCCGGGTAATTTAATCACATTCCAAACTCGCTCCGCGACCGACGATGATTATATTTTCACCAGGTTCTAAAACTTCGCGCGAACTCCTATTTTTAATCGGCGAACGATTAATGCAGGATATACGCGGGAGAGGAATTCAGAAGTTTCTGCGAACGCGTCAAGATTCACGGATTAGCTGTCGAGACTTCGATTTTCCGTTTCTTCGTTTTCGTTTACACCGTTCGATCGTTAGGAGCGTCGGAAGATCGACAAGCGGGATGGCCGATTCGATCGATCGAACGGACGTAAAACTCGGTTTCTCCCGGGCGTAAAATGCTAGCGAGAGACAAGGGAGAGAATGAGAAAGCGGCCACGAGCCGGCTGGAAGTTTTCTGGCGCGATATCAAAGCGGGCATCTCGAACGGCGCCAAGGCCATAGTTAACGAGGTCCTCGTCTGGCCATTCAGCAGCAGGGTTCCCTTGTCGCCGTTGTCGTTGTCGTTGTTGTCGATTCGGTACGTACCTGTGCGCTTACCTGGGGCCCCGTTCATTGCGTCCTAACCCGGACCAGAAACGACGTACGCTGTAAACCCGGCGGGTTTCGTCCGAACGAAACCGCCCACTCGACGACCACCGTGCTACGCTTTCTCGTTTCTTTCTCGTTCGACCACGGTCCAGACGTGTTACACGCCCGGGAAGAAACGAGCGGGCTCCTCTTCGTGTCGCGCGAATGTTACTCTGCCCCTCGGCCTGTGTAACCTTCCTTCGTCAAAAGAAAAGCTCGTGGTCCCTGTTTCAATTTTAGCGTCGCTGCGATATTAATCGGGACACCGAAAGCCTTTTAATCGGTCCGTCTCTGGTTTCACATTTTCTTCGATATTCCGAGCCTCATTAAATCCGATATACCAACACACTGTTTCGTTTGAATGATCTTTGATAAGTTGTTGATATCTTATAACTACATTTTCCGCCATTATCTGGAAAAATCACAGGCGTTCGTGAATCGCGTCCGCGGGAAAAAATGTTTAAAATCACGCCTGGTAACGCGTTAACGAGATCATTCGATTAAAAGGTGTGTTGGCATGCCAAAAACCAGCCTCGAAGTTCGTCGTATCGTCGACCGGCTAGAATTATAACAAACAATCGAGATCCTTCACCACCTAACAACTACGAACGGTAGAAGGAACGATATCACCAACGAAACGAGGAGCAGGAGGAATCCAAGAAGATCTCCCCACGAGAGTGGAGGGACAGAGAGGACAGACCACGCCGATCACGGGAAAGGGGAAAGGGACAGAGAACGGAGTCACTAAACCCACCATTCACGCGAGGCCGCGGGCCCCGGAGTACCTGGAAACGGTGCTAATGATATGCCCGGGCCCAGCCTGGTGAATGGAACCTTTCGGGAATTCTCCGACGGTTTCGTAGAATTAGGAATTCCGAGGACGGGTCCTCGGCGTCCCTCTCAGCCTCCACCGGCCCCTCTCTCCGGGTTCTTTCTTTCTAGCCCCCCTTATTCGCGTCTCGCGGATCAGAGGCTGACTCCATAAAGAGGTGGTTTGCAGCGAAAGAGGCGGGTGGGAACGCTTTGTGGGAAACGTTTCTGCTCCCCCTTACCCCTCCCCGTCCCCTTTCCACTTGTTCCCCTCTCTGTCTGTTCGTCTAGCTCGCGCGTCTTCCGTCTCTCTATTCGAAGAGCCGGTCTTTCTCGGCGACGCCACCGCTCCCGGCTGAGATTTATAAGCGCGAACGAGCCTTTCAGGGCCGAGCCACCGGCTCATCCTCGAATGGGAACAATTTAGAGAATAAGGACGCGCCAGCGCGGAAGCCGCGAGGGAGGCGCGAAAGAGGAGCCCGTCAAACCGTCGCAAAAATTGCTCGCCGCCGATTGTGCGCTCTCTCCCCCTACGATCCTCGAGTCGAATCGCGGATTCGCTGCCGGTGAGAAGAGGACAGGGGGGTTGAGTCAGCCGGGTTCGCGAGGATCCGACTCCTCCGAGGCGAGTTCTTTGTAGCGACACGCATCTCGCGGCTGCCGGCGTACCGATCCTTTGTCCCCCTTATTTCCTCCAATAAGCGTCGTATTTCCTGTTTCGCCGACGATTCACCGTCGGGATTTATTTTAGTAATTTTAATAGAGGGGGCGGTGGGCGCAGACGACGATTCTCGGGTGAAAGGATCCCTCTGAAAGGCCGGGGCCGATCTTTCAGAGGAGAAGCTCGTTTCATTCAGGTTCGCCAGCCAGGCCTCGGCCATCCGGCAGGGTTTTCGAGGCTCGCCGCCGAAGTAGAAAACAGGTTTACCGGATACTCCTTGATTCCCCGCGCGCGTCAATTGTTTTATAGCCTGTTCCCTCCTGCCAGCATCCCTCTGGTCCCACCGGCACGGCCTAACCGGCCCTCTCTCTCTCTCTCTTTCTCTTCCTCCGCCGACACTCTCGTTTTCTTCGACTTTTACGCCGCTGCTAGCTGGTACCGCCGCCGAGGTGGCGCCACGTTGTACCGTTCTCCTCTTCCTCCCTGCTCGTCGCGCGGTTCCAGTAAAATAAAAACTCCCTCTGTCCGAGTGTATTGTTTTACGTACCCCTGTTCGACCGCTCAGTGGGTCCTCCGAGCGATTCCCGACGGTGGCAAAGAATGGTCTTGAGAATTTGTATTCGACCGAAAAAGAAACGAGCCGATCCTCCGCGTATAATTCGACCGGGGCGTGGAGAATGGGCTCACTAAAGTTTTAACGTCGATCTCTGGGCTGCTTGTAAATCGCTGTTGTCGAGAGGCGATTTTTATAGTCTTTTTAGTCTCCGTCCTCAGAATGTAGTCTCAGCATCCTCTCTAAGCGTCTAGCAGTTTCTCTTTCGAGTTCCAAATCTGCTCGATCGTCGTCCAGGGAATTTTCAGGGATGAAACGGCTACGAATATCGACTCGGTACGCTTATAGACCGTCGACATTTTATATTCGACAACTGTGATCATAACAAATTTTCCAAGAAAGACAAACAACATATTTATAACGGCTTGTCACCACGCTCAGCAATTGTTCCACCAATCTCGCCATGCTTAAATCGACGTGTCTTAGAATAAACTGACCGAAAGTTCAGCCGAGGATACAGGAGTTTCTTTCCACAGCGGCGTCACCGATTGTCTGGCAGCTTGTATCCTAATTTTAAACGAAAATATTTAGTCGGAAGAGTTGACATTCGTGGAGGGAGGAAAAAAGGAGACTGCGGGCCGCGATTCCGCCCCTTATCGCGGTGGCCCGTGTTTACCGCCCTCGTTCTCCGCTCGTTGACGCCGGGCGAAGAGGAGAGAGGCAGTCCGTTTTATTTTATCAGACCGATGGAACAGCGTGAGAATTCGTTTACCTTTCCCCCATTAAGGAGCGACGGTGCCCGGGCGGGGTCGAGCTTTGCGGAACCGGGGGTTGCCGTGTCATCAACGTTTTATTTCCACCGCCCCGTCCGGCGTCGCGTCGCCTCGCCTCGCGTCGCGTCGGTCCGGCAGCGAACGCAAAAGTTTAATTAATTTCGAGCCACGGCATTAAGTGGCAGTATCGGGAAGCCTCCCCTCCCGTTTCCACGCCGTTCCTCCCGGAGAACTTTCGTTCCCTCCCTTCCTTTCCCTTCTGTTCGAAGCCTGCGACCCGGTCGCGTATCGCGGCTTGCTCAATTAAAAATTAGCCTGTCCGCGGACCGAGAGTCCGTGATAAAGTCGAGATCGTCCGTCATAGTCTGAACACCGGTGGGCAGGGATTATACCGATGGGGTGTACTATAAATACGAGAGAGGCCGCGGATTCTAAAACGGGGTATGTTAACCTATTTTTTCGTTGCGACGCCGTCGCGAATTATTTTTTACGCTCGTCGCGAAGAGTGCTTTCACTTGTATTCGTAATTTTTCGTAATAAGAAACGAGCATTTAATTGCAGTACAAACTAATAAAATGATATTTAGCGCTAGTCAAGTTTCGTTTGAAACCTTCGTCCCGAATCGGACAAGTTATCGTAAATCAAGAGGTTAAGGGGGCCGAAGAAGTACGAAGTCCTCATTGGCTCTACTATAATTTAAACGATGCTCCCCCAATGAATCATCTCGCGTTTGATCCGGCGGCTGTGCCTTTGATTGGAAAATTCGTATTGCGATCACGCACTCCGAGGCGTGGCCCTGTTCGTTTCAACCCGCGATACAGGCGTGCTCATTATCGGCCCGGTACACCCCTATAATTATCGGGACATCGTTCCTCGCGCATAAACGGGCCGCCCCGCGAGCCTCGCGCGGCCTTTCCGGTTATTCAATCGCGTGCGCGCGAGTCGCACGGGAGTTCAAAGTGATGCATATTTATAGGTTCGTTAGCCGGAGAAAGGAAACGAAAGAAGCGGCGAAAACTCTCGTAGCTTCTCCGTTCTCTCCGCCTCCTCGCCCCTTCGTCGCGCATCCCCGCCGCTCCGCGGTGTCCTTTTTCCTTTCTGCGAAGCGTGCCCGGCGCTGATTCGGCCGCAGAATGCGCCCGACGCAACCAGATGACACATTTACCGGGCGTTTCCGTTCTGGGAAGCCCGACGAGCCTTTCGTTGCCGAGCACGCGCTGCGCTCGCGTCAGATCCCAGCCGAGATTGCGCGTTATCGGGGAACTAGGCTCGCGGAAATCGTTCGCGGTTTCTCACACGAGCCGGACTGAACGCTGCGAAATCTGGACGAAAATTAATTTAGCCCGTTGTACACCGTTATCTCCGGCAATCAAGCTTTTGTAGACTTCTCGAGTGAAACTTCGCCGATGAACAGAACGATACAACGGGGTAATAAACCGCGCTGGAATATAAAGAGGAGATCGTTTAATAAGATCCCCGTGCCTGGAATCGTCTTTGGTATTCCTCGAGTTCTCGAATCTATATATCCTTCCAATAATATTCTTAGGACTCTTGCTTCATTAAAATAAATTGTGGATTACTCGGCAAGTGGGCTGGCTAGCGTTTTATTGTCTATAAAGTGTCATCTCTCTGCTCAGGGTCTCGGGGAGCGAGGACGTGGAGGAGCACTCGGGGTTCACCCGTAATTTCGTGGACAAGGATAAGAGGACACGATAAAACCCTCTCGGTCTTCGAGGATCTCCGGTCTGGTTTAAGATGAAGACGACAGGCCGCTTCCGCATCGAATTCGTCAAAGTCTCGACACATCGTTTGCGAGCCTCGCCACTTCCACGGTCAAACCTTCTCGGTAAGTTTGTTTGCTCCCGTCCAGATCCGAGGGCACCGGTGACTGATCACCTACGAAACCAAGAAGGGTTCCCGCGGCAAATCCTCGAGGACAGGGGTCGCGGCCACGGCTTACGCGGCGTCGTGGTCAAATACCGCTCTTACAGGTCGACGACAGGGCCCTCTTAAGTGCGAAGCGGAGTCGCATTAGCTGGAAAGATCGCGGTAAATATAAGTGCGACAGGGACGATCCGGTGGCCATCTGGATCCAATGCTCATCACCCTAAATCACTCTATTTTTCGCCGGGTTTGTCGAGAATGCGAATCTTCTTATTCGAATCTCGACCCTTATTTATGAACTACAACCCTTAATTAATATTTATAGAACATAGAATAGAACAAGATGGATAATCACGATAGTAATGTTGAAAAAGTTAGCCTTAGACATATGTCTGCTTGTGATTAATTCCCTACAGAATTTCAATGGTACTCGATATTTTTTATTAATTGAATTTTCACAATAGAATCATCGTTCCACTGCATTCCTGTCAGTGCAACTCTCGATCGCACAAGATTACAAAATCAACGCGACGAGCCTTCGGCGCCACCTCCAGTATCCGTTCAACGTGTTCCCGTCCACGGAACGCCTATTTCCAACGGCAGAGAATCCAGTAGACCCGGACCAGTTACTCGAACATCAAAGAATCGCGATGTTCGCGGATGTTCGCGACGAAAGCACTCCTAGACAGAGTTGTCGGTCACGGAACGCGGTGTACGAGGAGCGTGAAACACGTGTCTGTCTCGCGGCGCGTTCAGAACGCGACGCGGAGCACGCGAAACACCGACTCGCGCCAGCCGAAACGGAGCGGATGGGCGTCGCTCGGGGATTCACCTTCGCCAGTTGTGTCTTTTCCGCGCGTAGATCGAGCGTGCGACGCGCTCACGCCTTCGTGGCACGCCTCGATCACAAATCATCGACGGCCTGTCGTGAACCGCGTCTTTGTGCCACTCTTTGCGCGAGAGCGCTCCCGATGCCTCGACGGCGAAGACTGTGGAAAAGATTCATGGGAGCCGGGGACGGGAATAGTTCTGTCGTCGGGACAGCTTCGACGACGGCGACGCCTCCTGGTCTCCACTCGGCCGACGCGGAATGCGGCCGGAGGATTTGCCCTAGCGATGGGCTTGATTCGTAGATCGACTTACAGCTTTAATCGCGAGATCGAGGGGTTCGTTTATGGAAGAAAGTGGACTGGCGATGACATACTGCCGCGATGCATCTGAATGCTGTTCGATAGTTTGGGATATATTAAAATTCAGTGATAATAATTTTGTATTATACTTGTGAGAATGATCTCCTTAATCCTTTGGCTACGGTAGAATCTTGCGTGAACGCGTATTTTTAAGAAAGTGTATCGAAACCATGGAAACACTGAATTGAACTAAATTAAACTAGTCTAAAATAGTTACATTTATATAGTATATGACTAACGAAAGATGTAATTGTTTCAGAATTCACGTTACTGCAATTATTGTCAACGCTTTACGGGCGCCAACAGTACACCGGAACCGAATTTTGCGGCAACAGTAGCCAAGGGGTTAACTTGGATTTGTTTAGAAGTTCTTACGAAGTCCTCAGGTTCGTTTATTTAGAGGATTAATCTAGGGTGTAAGAAGCAGTTGCATCCTCATTGGGGATGAGTCAGGGGTTAGTCAATTTAGTCTGCGAGTCGGCGACGTTCACGGGGAATATTCACCGCCTGATCCTTTCGAATACTTGTTCCCCTCCGCGTTCCGCGAAAGTTTCCCGATTTAGCCGCAATTTAAACGAGACACGTTCCCCTTGGTCGCGATTTAATCGTACGAGAAAGTACAAGAAAAAGTGTCTCGTGTTCCTGAGTCACGGTCGGTGTCATCGCTACCCGCGGCACTTTTATTTCGAAGCGCGAGCAGGAACGTGTGTCGTCGCCGCGTAAACTAGCACCGCGACGCTCGAGTGAGCGCGCCCCTCGGCCGACGCGGGTACGCGTATATTTTACGCGACGTCGGTCCATCCATCAAGCGGGGCTTTGGCTTGCGGGGCGCAACGCGCGACCGCTCGGAGGTTAGGAGTCAGGTAGAGGAACGAACGTCGACGAATTGCCGGGGCCTGCTTATGGGATTAGGATAGGAGGAGATCAAACGACGGCGCTCGAAAACCCCGCGAAATTTGTCTGGCAAATTTCAAACGATCGCGATCGAGGCTCACCGGCCGTTTGATAAAGATTAATCGGCGGGATGCCGGGCGATCGTGGTCTATCGCGTTCCGTGAACGCTATAAATGGAATCGGAGCCAACGGTGATGAAGATGTTCGCTGTTTCGCTTCGTTTTAACCCTGCCACGCCGCTTCCCGAGTGTGACGCTTGTTTCGCGCAGGAATTTCCTTTATAAATTAACTTTGAAACCTGAACTATACGTATATATTTACTATAGTTTAAAAATAGGTAACAAACAGATACGTTCTCCTCTTTACTCGACTGAGAATCTCTTTATTATTCATAGCCTCTAATAATCTTTGAGATCGAAATAACATAGAAATTTGACTTTCGATTCGTTGAAACCTGCGATTCACCTGTTTCGCGGACTATATTCGACACACGAGAAGTTGGTAAATTCAAGCTGGTTTCCATCGAACGAATGAAAGCCGAACCCATGGGTCACGGGTCCGCCGCGATGGAACAATACCTACGCCGCCGGTGCGCCGGTCATTATTAGTTGACCAGAAGCGAGCAGCGTTCCTCGCGATCCGGGTACATTTCCTGCGGCGTGTCCGGTCCATTAAACGGCCCAGAAATATCTCGATGACTGATGAAAAGAATCTTTGTTACAAGTTGCGCGCAGAAACAAGCCCCGGCACGCCGGACGACGCTAATCCGAGTACATTTCGCGGCCGTTCATTAATCATTCCGCTCCGGAGCGGGGCTGGACGCGTCTCACGGTGGTGCCTCGTTGTAAGGGCAGAGGTCTCGATGAGTTATCGGCGGTCGCCGTTGTAGCAAGAGCACCGCGAGACCCTTTCCTAGAGACGAGTCTCTCCTGCCTCTCTCCCTCGTGATCGCCTTTGAACCGGCGGCCGCGTCAGCGCATCGCCGCTGACAACTTCGTTCCCCGAGCTAGTTCGCAATCCATTAGACCGGGAATGCGAAACGAGCCGTATACACCGGCGTCCGGTGGATACAAGGCTAGACAAATGAATTTCTAACCCTTTTACGAGCTCTTTGCGTCGTACCGCGCACCGTTTCTGCTCGGTTCACCGTTCGCGCCTGATGATCCTAGCCTTTAACCCCTCGCGCTCCGAGAATTAATCTGTCAACGGATCCTTAGCGCCCCGGAATCTGCCACTCTCCCGCAATTCATTAGAAATTTTAATTGTCGCCGTGTAGAGGTTGTTTTCACACTCTCGCCGCCACTTCGGAGATTCTCTTGGCGCATTGTTCTTACGGATCTACTTATAATCCGCAGCTTCGCGCCATCGACACCGTTCGAATTCCTCTTGGAGACCCGTCCCGTTACAATTCACCGAACACCATCGCCGCCAATAAAATATGAAACACACGCTTCGCGCGCAGATACCGTCCTTCAGCTTTCCACAGCATTTCCCGCGACGTCGCAGTGCGTCTCTGTTTATCCGGCCGACGAACCCCCAGTTCAGGGGTGCCGCGCAGGAATCGCGGAATAGACGGGAGGTGGATTCGACGGCCGCGACTTCCCTCCGACCTCCTCCGTCCCGCGGTAGTCCGCGCTGGAAGTGACGTCCGCGCTTCCGAGGGGGTGGGAAGAGGGGCGATCGACACCGAACGCGGAAGAAAACCCCTTTCGCGCTGTTGCCTCGACGGGAATTATTTAAATGGATTACCGCGGCAACTCCGTGGCAAAGTTTTCCGGGGGATTCGACTGATCCGCTCTTAAAATTTAGATGGATTATAAGGAGAAACGCGAGAGGCAGGGTGCGAGAGTGGCCGGACTGTGAAAAGACGCCGGCAGAGACTTCGTACTTATTATACTTAACGGGGGACGGCGTCTTTTTAAAGGGGCTAACAATGAGGGATAGTACCGGCAGTCCAACCCCACCGCGCCTCCTCCGGCCCACCCGTCCACCCGTCTTCAAGAAAATGTTTAATGCCGCGGAAAGTAAGACGCGGTAATTAATATCCATTATCTCCTACGCTGGCGACCCCCGTCCAATTAGCCGACGCGGTTTCCCCGCCGCGGAAGACGCATTACCGGGGAAGTCGCGGGAAACGCGACGATCGAACGACTCCATTGGCTCGGAGCTCGTCGGAGTTCCGAGAACTCTTCTCGCCCGGTTAGGTAAACATTCTCTTGTTAACGGATGAAGGCTGGTGTTACTCGAATTTCGACGAGAGCAATCGGTATCGAAGATACGCTTATTAATCCTAATACACGAGCAACTTTTGGATGAGGAGGAATTATATATCGAATGATTAAATAATGCAAGAAACGAAACTGTGTGCTCTCTTGTTGTCTGAGTAATTGAATCATTCGCTCGCAACATGGAAGAATTGGGATTTCTATAATAATGTAAGAAATATGAGGGATGTTCTTAGTTTCTCCCGTTTCATCCCTATTCGCCTCGGTTTACCCTATGTCGAATGTACGAATTCGATCTCGTGAAAATATCCGCGGAACAAGTGGATTTCGAAGTGTCCGAGGTGTCTAAAAATGATTCCCTGGCACACCTGACGGCGGAATACGTCGGAGCTTATTACACGATCCATTCCCAGCCGGACAAGATCCGATTGGATTCGTTCCGGTGTCCGCGCGAACGACAAACACCGTCAAAGGGAGGACAAATTGCGGGACGGTAAGCGAGCATGAAAATCGTAAACGCCGCGTGCCAAGTTGGCAGTTGGCTTACTTTAAATACGGCTGGGATCCAGCTTGTTACACTAATTATAACATCGCGGCCCGTTTCTGCGCTCGGATCGCGCGCACCCGTGCCTCCTTCGGTTCCAGCAGGAAACGTAACTTCTCTCGGAACGCGTTTCCGGCAGGAGCTCGCCCGGTAATAATGTACCCTGATAACTGGACCGTGCACAAGCGTGGAGGAAATATTAATTATTGGCCGCGTTACAAGCGGCGCTCGCCGGTACTCGCGTGTCGTTCATATATTACGCTACCACGCCACCGCGGAACGTATTTCCTCCTCGGGGGCAACGGGCGTCAACGTCTTCGCTTTTACGAGACCCCGTACACTTTTAAAGGGGGGGTTTAATAACGGTAAGGAGAAACAGAAGCACGTGAAAGTAACGCGTCGGGCGCATATTTCACGCGATGATGTATTTATCGGGATGATAATGGCGCGTACAAAGTGAAGCGGCCGTTCTTCGGGAGTTAACTCGCGGCCGCGCGCGCGTTCCGAGTTATAGCGGAGATTAGCGGGAACGATTGCCGGCGAAATTTCTTCGTAGAGGTACGAGCCCATTCAACAAGTTGAGAACGCGTGTGCGCGCCTAATTGAAGCCGGCCTCGCGTGAGGAGTCACTGTTCATTCATCGCCGAATGACCGGTCCGCGAATGTAAATTATTTAATAACGGGTGCTCGGGGGAAATCCTACGATATGATTTCAGTCTCTGGTTCGTTACACCGTGCACGACTCGAACAGGTCGGATTTATTGAAAATAAAAAGGGATGAACATCAAACGAATGCTAATACCGAAATTCAATTAAATACACGCGTATCACGCGCGTATAATCTCTAAGACGTTAGGTAAGGAAGTAATCTTTGATAATTTCGTTTAACGGTAACTGCACGCGATTTCTCCTGTAAATGATTTCCATTTGAAGATGTCGTGTACTTTTTATCTTAATTGCGATGGATCATTAAGCGTGCGCAACTCGAAATTTGCAGTGTCTAGCGACGATTAGGCGGGCGCACGGTCGCGTATTACACGGGGCGCAACGGATGGATCTCCGTCACGGCAATTTCTAAGATTACAACCGCGTTTAACCGCGGGTACACGCCGAGCGCTAATACGCCGCTGGAAACTGCAGTCTTGCAGATCGTCGGATCTGTCGTATTGTTGCGGGAGTCTGTCGTGAACGCATCACCCTCGGCCGGATTAATTCTCGGGCGATAACATACCTCCGTGGAACTCCGCTCCTGGCGTTCTTGCGTATCCGCAGATGCAGACGACGCGATTTGTACTTGGCAACGTTTAGCTGTTGGTCCCTGAAGATAACGGTCTCGGATTGTTCGAACGGTTTAGTAAATCAGCTCCTTGATTATCCTTTTACGCGAACAACATAGAA